TCCTCTGATTGTGTTCAATTACCCCTAGTGCCACAGGCCTTCAGAAAAGCCTACGTACACTACCTCACTCATAACAAAACTTCCTGTTTCCACATTGAAAAGATGAGTGTAGAAGTGTAATCACCATGTCGCACCTACCTTTGGTCTCCAGAGCCACACCAAGAAGAGGTTAGTGGGAGTTGAGGAAGCGACACTACTCCATCACACATGACAAGATTGAAGTTGGTAAATTGTTGGTTAATCTAAATAAAGGCAGAACCAGTTGTCCATTCGATGTCATTCACCTTCACCAATGTGGTTCAAGGATTAAATAGTCTAGTAGTTTGAAGCCATGACGGCATCACCTCTGTCAGGAATGTCGCCTCCACCCACCATCTCCACTCAACCGCAAACCAATTGGTAATCTCAATCAAATTGTTTCACTTGAAGCCATGTTGAACCCACGTTGCTCATCCCGCAGTACCACAGCTTCTGGTCATGGACTCTATCAACTGCCTTATTACTTCGCTCCACAGTCACATCTGCCTAACATACAGATGGATATCTGCTGACCTTCAAAAGGTTAACGCAATATTGACATCTTAACACCCTCAACGAAAAAGTCGAATTCTCCATGTGGTGCGGAAACCATGAATCGTGTCTCCCCCTCCTTACATTACTCGCACTCTCCCTTCTCAGACCTACTGAAAGGAAATGAATAGTCTACAAATGCCCAAAATTTCACCATACGCCCCACTACTGTTATGCATAAATAGGTTGACCTCCTTACAAGTGCTAAGCGGTAGAGACTATACTTATCAATCTTCCCCATTTGTGCTCCGTAGCATTGCCATTCAGACGCTACCTAGTGTTAGCCATAAATTGGGAGCCAATCACATTTATAATCGTACACATGGACAATCCGACATGCATAGACACACACACAGGCGCGTAGGATAACTCACCTGACTAAATAGATCTGACAGGTGCATTTGTGTTATGGGGAGTGGTTGTACATTCCTCATCATCTCCGTCAACGACGCGACTTCATCGAGAATCCTGTGCAATGACTTCTGCTTCGCCAGCACTTCTGGCAAACTCTGCGTAGAAGGAAAAATTAGGAGAATAGAAAGGGACAAGGGAGGCAAAGCATTAATGGCAGCAGCAGCCGGAGGAAATGACAACACTCAGTCCACCAGCATCACCACTCACGAAGATTTGTTCCAGCGATGCGTTCACATCTTGAGCTTTGTCCACCTCGGCGAAGAGGTGCGTGATCCGTCGCACGAGTGGGCCTATCATCTCGTAACCATCTACATCCACCACCTCCACTTTCGTTGTGGCAGCATCCAGTGATTTGTTCGCTGCTCTGCGCAGCTCCAGCACTGCGTCCTCCACGCCATCGAAAACATCGTCCTTCGACGTCGCCTCCTTCTCCACTGACAAGGATTCCCACCTCAGCAAGTGCTCCAAACGTGACTTTAACATAGCTTTATGGCGAAACAGGGCATTCATTTTCACACGGACTATCAGGCTGAACTGCAAGAAGGAAAGAATAGGAGGCAGAATGGTATCCCCATGCGACATGAGCTGACTTTCTCATTACCTTATGTAGAAAGTTCATGTACGCTTGTGACATTTTAACGAATGGTAAATGTTCGTGGTCTGCGACAAATGGTATCTATATATGCACACGAGTTAGTAAAGAATACAGGCAATTTATGCTAAAATGCAAAAATCACTGATGCTCACACTGTTGCGGTGTTTCCCACGGCACTGTGGACAGATGTTGTGATGACAATGATTACAAACATCCAATTCTTTCGCTTCAACTGGTCTTCTACAGGCACTGCAACACATAGTAGGGGAAGGATTTTCGCCGGTTCTACGTTCATTAATCGATGTCTCCTCCACGCGCTCTCCTTTATTCTTCACCTGCTGCTTCGGCATCTGATCCTTCTCCGGTTCCCTTTTCACTGCGATCAGAGTGTTGTTGGGACGCAGTTCGTCCACGTCGAACGTCGCATGGCAAGCACCTACCTTTGGTCTCCAGAGCCACACCAAGAAGAGGTTAGTGGGAGTTGAGGAAGCGACACTACTCCATCACACATGACAAGATTGAAGTTGGTAAATTGTTGGTTAATCTAAATAAAGGCAGAACCAGTTGTCCATTCGATGTCATTCACCTTCACCAATGTGGTTCAAGGATTAAATAGTCTAGTAGTTTGAAGCCATGACGGCATCACCTCTGTCAGGAATGTCGCCTCCACCCACCATCTCCACTCAACCGCAAACCAATTGGTAATCTCAATCAAATTGTTTCACTTGAAGCCATGTTGAACCCACGTTGCTCATCCCGCAGTACCACAGCTTCTGGTCATGGACTCTATCAACTGCCTTATTACTTCGCTCCACAGTCACATCTGCCTAACATACAGATGGATATCTGCTGACCTTCAAAAGGTTAACGCAATATTGACATCTTAACACCCTCAACGAAAAAGTCGAATTCTCCATGTGGTGCGGAAACCATGAATCGTGTCTCCCCCTCCTTACATTACTCGCACTCTCCCTTCTCAGACCTACTGAAAGGAAATGAATAGTCTACAAATGCCCAAAATTTCACCATACGCCCCACTACTGTTATGCATAAATAGGTTGACCTCCTTACAAGTGCTAAGCGGTAGAGACTATACTTATCAATCTTCCCCATTTGTGCTCCGTAGCATTGCCATTCAGACGCTACCTAGTGTTAGCCATAAATTGGGAGCCAATCACATTTATAATCGTACACATGGACAATCCGACATGCATAGACACACACACAGGCGCGTAGGATAACTCACCTGACTAAATAGATCTGACAGGTGCATTTGTGTTATGGGGAGTGGTTGTACATTCCTCATCATCTCCGTCAACGACGCGACTTCATCGAGAATCCTGTGCAATGACTTCTGCTTCGCCAGCACTTCTGGCAAACTCTGCGTAGAAGGAAAAATTAGGAGAATAGAAAGGGACAAGGGAGGCAAAGCATTAATGGCAGCAGCAGCCGGAGGAAATGACAACACTCAGTCCACCAGCATCACCACTCACGAAGATTTGTTCCAGCGATGCGTTCACATCTTGAGCTTTGTCCACCTCGGCGAAGAGGTGCGTGATCCGTCGCACGAGTGGGCCTATCATCTCGTAACCATCTACATCCACCACCTCCACTTTCGTTGTGGCAGCATCCAGTGATTTGTTCGCTGCTCTGCGCAGCTCCAGCACTGCGTCCTCCACGCCATCGAAAACATCGTCCTTCGACGTCGCCTCCTTCTCCACTGACAAGGATTCCCACCTCAGCAAGTGCTCCAAACGTGACTTTAACATAGCTTTATGGCGAAACAGGGCATTCATTTTCACACGGACTATCAGGCTGAACTGCAAGAAGGAAAGAATAGGAGGCAGAATGGTATCCCCATGCGACATGAGCTGACTTTCTCATTACCTTATGTAGAAAGTTCATGTACGCTTGTGACATTTTAACGAATGGTAAATGTTCGTGGTCTGCGACAAATGGTATCTATATATGCACACGAGTTAGTAAAGAATACAGGCAATTTATGCTAAAATGCAAAAATCACTGATGCTCACACTGTTGCGGTGTTTCCCACGGCACTGTGGACAGATGTTGTGATGACAATGATTACAAACATCCAATTCTTTCGCTTCAACTGGTCTTCTACAGGCACTGCAACACATAGTAGGGGAAGGATTTTCGCCGGTTCTACGTTCATTAATCGATGTCTCCTCCACGCGCTCTCCTTTATTCTTCACCTGCTGCTTCGGCATCTGATCCTTCTCCGGTTCCCTTTTCACTGCGATCAGAGTGTTGTTGGGACGCAGTTCGTCCACGTCGAACGTCGCATGGCAA